ACTTCTAAATTCGGTAGTTAGTCTTAATTACTTACGTTTTATAATTAATATTTTAATGAATTAGGTAATAAATGGTCGTGATATATATGTAAACGATGATCAGTTTGAAAAAAGCATTATCCAATACAAAAGTGTATTTCATTTTGGACAGATAAAATAATTTAATGAAATAAGTATTAAACAATTAAAAATTGTTCAACTGCTATTTCATTCTAAGATGGACTAGTCAAAAGTATGAATCCCTCCATGGCTGTCTAATAATAACATTGTTTCATTGACTAACTTTTTGTTTGGTTACAAAAAAAAGAAACATTCTTGGCATAAAATTGTCATTAGTCATTATTCGTACTCATTTGTAAGTGTTTAAAATCAGCGATTCGCTTCTATTTTAGCGACTAACTACTGGACTTCAGTGTGAACGAATGATCAAGTGCGCAATGAAATAAATCTTCCTCTCCACTTCCGTATATTTATACTTAGGTTAACTCCGTTTGTGGAATGGCGGTAGTAAGAAGCCAAATACGGTTTCGCAGATGAATTGATTTCATGCATTCATTTATGCAGACAAACATGAGAAGGGAAGTGTACCAAGCAAAATGAGGCGGATTGGAGAAGGCGAGTGAGCCAACTCTCCATGAGCTGAAGCAATGACTAAGTATTTATAGTCAAGCAATAATCGGCTAGACATTCGATAAGCGAGTAAGCATCCACACACAATCAAATATACAATAATCGATACTGTAATCGAATTAGTACAAATACAATCACTTATGGTCGATACCATTATCGAATAATTTAAACGAAAGCACAATGAATAAATGAATGATGAGATGCTACACTATGACATCGACTTTCATCCTAGAATAATATTTACAGCATAAGTAGCATGTTGTTTCTTCAAAAGTCAATTAGAAGAGCAGGAAACTTATCAGGTTCACTATAGGCTGATAGGGAAATTTGCAATACCAAATGGCAAATCAAGATAAATATTTATGATAAGAAAAGCTATATTCTTCCCACTGTCCACAATCCTAATGTGACATTTTTATTCAGTGCAATATTTGTTTATTGTTAGTGCAATATATTTGACAGTGGTTTTATTCTCAGTGCAACATTTCGGTCAGTATTGATTGTGAGTGAATATTATCTCTAGTGTGACATTATTTCAGGTCAATAGGTGTCGAAATGAATTGAAAGTTTGTTCATTATGACAGGTGTGAACTGTGTGCCACTGTGAATGTTGCATGTTGTTTGTTGTTTTATACCGAACATCCAAGTGTTTTTCAATCTCTCTGTTTATCAATTCGGTCAATATATAAATGAATAAGCATATTTAGTTAAACGTCATGATCTGTTTGAACAGTCATTCATACCAGTCAGTGTGTTTCATTTCGCATCACTGGCACTCCACTGGTTCACCGTCCCAATTACAAACAGCAGAGCATTGTGGATATTATTACACTAAGTTTGTCTGTACTAACATAAAGGCTTGGAAGTGTCAGTAGTTTCACCGTGGTCATTATTTCTATCACATACTATTCGATACCCAGTTAGTCACTGGTTTGCTTTTATATCAATTTGTAATAATCACGTTACAATTCCATTATTATTATTTCATTTAAAAATCATAAAATTACCATTGATTCATAGATAAATTATTGATTGATTCATGTTGACAGGTTGAGCAAGCAATAAAATTATATTGCTCTACACTTTTCATAATTGACAAGAAGCTAATCTTGCAAACTATATTTTTTTATTGTTTAAGTTCCATAAGGAATAAACCATACACACACACACACACACACGCACAAACATGCAAAACAACAAGACATGTTTAATCCAAAACACATGACCTCAGTGAACACGAAAATAAATGCAAATTAATTATTTGCTTAAATATTGATTCCACTGCTTCTGCATTTTATTGGTTAATTGAATTGCAATTGAAGTTCTTACATTTAGCATGCGACTTGTAAACTAGCATTCATTAAACACAATACAGCATAAGGCGAATAAGTATAAAGTATCAACACAATAAGTTCTTTGAACTGAATGAATTAATTGTAAATTTGTCATTGTTTGCCCCGAAAAACTTGACCGGTGTTTACTATGTACAGGTTCATTTGATATGGCATCTACTGGGGTCGCAAATTTTTTCTGACCATTATAAATTAATCTGTAATTAACCGATCTTGCCATAGAAAATAGTTGCCTTTTCAATTATTCACGAGTACTGAATATGAGGACAAAAGAGTTTTTATTGTAGAACTAGAAATGTCAAACTAATTGCTTCACAATGTAATTGACACCAGTGATTAGTACTGTTATTATCCTGGATAGAGGTTGAAATATTCCAAAACCTCGAAATTTCAGAGCATCTTTGATCCAATTAACTAAGAGTTAAATAGTCGGAATCAAGAGATCAAATGAGAAAATGAATTGAATCAGATTGGTAAAGTAGCAATGAAAACCTGAAAGCAGTCGACACCTGTTTCCTCTTACTAAGGGAACTGGCAACCTGGTCAGTGACAGAACCGATTATCTCCATGTTTCTTAGGAAGCGCTCAACTAGTAGGGTTCAGAAATACCATTGATAAAACAGTTGTCACCACGATGATACTAGATAATCTCGTCAAGCGTTTTTGTAAATTGACTGACATTGGAATTGAACCTCAGGGAAACCTAAAGGTTCTTGTTTCAGTCCTTGGTAGGGTTGTCCTATAGTAGGGCCAAATAGCTATCCAACTCCCCATGGTTTTTTGAGGGTACCTTAGTTGAAATAGTTGTGACGAATAGAACCTGCAGAATCAAATCAATCTACAAAAAATGCCTTTCAACCATAATTCCCATCAGCATTATTCTCATGTTTTTGAAACTGATGTGATAAAAATGAATAGTTCATTCGAATTAAAAAATTTTAAAAGTCTTCATATTGAAACGTGATTAAACAATGGATAAGGTGAAATTTTTCAATTCCATTTCACTCTATTTCTCATTTTCGAGCATAATAATTGTTTGGGATTAAAAATACTTTTTTTTTCTTTTAAAACAAAAGAATACAATAAATAGTTTTGTTTAATGTGGAATGTTTATTGATAACATTCTCATTATCTGATGGAAATGTTCAATAGTGAAAACAGTCCAATTATTATTATTATTTTTAACTATTGAGTAAATTTAACTGAGAAGGTCAAAAGTCCACAGAACTTTTTTTTTCATTAATCATCCTTTTTGAAAAAAAGTCAAATGATCACAGGGGAAGAGAAGGAGAAGCAAGAATGATAGCAAGAAAGGAAGAAACGTACTTTTAGCTAATTTATGTCCTGAATATGAGTGAATATTATTTATTTATTTAAGATTACAAGAAATGTAATATTAGATGGGTTTTGTGTGTGTATGTGTGTGTGTGTGTAAGACTGCATTAACATTGACTGTGTGATGAACATGAATTCCTGTTTTCTTTTTTGTTTCTTGACAATCTATTCAATCAAAATAGATTCGAACGATAACATACAAGAAAAAAAACAGATCACATCTAAGCTCTCAGCTGTACACTCATTACATATTCAGGGAATTCTCTAGTTTAACTGATTGTTTTCATGCATTTTTGCAGTGCACATATGCTCTGACCATAGTTAGGTAATCAGTGTTGAAAACCAGGAATCAATGGATAGGTGTTAAGTTCTAGTATATAGTTCCCTAACTCTGTGCATTCACGACTCTGTTAGAAATCGAGATGATAAAAACATTCAAACCTAGTGACAAACGTTTAGCACTTAAACCACTAACTTGTTCCCAAGTCTACACTTTCAACTTCACATTTTTGAAACCATGAATCGATCAATGTTAGACCACCATTAGAACCTGGAAGCACTGGACGGCCGTTTCGTCCTGGTATGAGATTCATCAGCATTGCGCATCCATGACTCCTGTACCCCGCAGGATTCGAACCCAGGACCTGCGGTGTTGTGTGCGAACGCCTAACCATCGAACCACTGAGCCGGTATCTAACGGTGTTAATGTCTAACTTGATCAATTCACGGAGCTGCGCAACCTCATACACAGTCTTCGGTAGTTACTGTCTACACTTTTAACTTCAATCGAATTTTAACACTTAAACACCATAATTCAATATTGTTGGTGGTTAACTTCATCATATTTCACAGTGTTGAACTGTACCAATTACGACATGTTTGCACATACGACTATGATGATTAAAACTGTTGGTTTAAACAGTTATATTTGAGTGATTAGAATATCTTCAAAATTTACTGTTAGAACCATGTGAGAGATACAGAATTAACACATTGTGAATCGCTATAAGTAACATTCACTAAATTGTGCTCTCGACATTTCGATGGATTGACTGACTTCATCTGCAGTTATATCGGATTAAGATAACAGTCTTGATATGGAAACAAATCTTGAGAAAATTATTTTGTAAACAGATATGTTTATGGAATTTCGCATTCATTTTTTTTGTATCCTCCAACTTCTATTATATCAATATCTTTCTCTGTTTAATATTGACATTTAAAATCAGTTTATTGATGTTAGCATTTTTTGCTCTTTGCCAATAATTGTGAAATTAATCATTGAGTGAAAGTGAAACTATCTTTACTAATCTATCATCATGGGAAACATCATTCCATCCATATGGTTCTGTAAAGACATCAGTTACAGCGTACACTGTTTGTTGGACTGCCTACTTACTGGCATGCCGCAGTTCATCACTTTGATACATTGTATTCATTACTGCTAGAATGATTAAAACTATTAGTGTATATACAACAATTTGCTAAAGACTAATCAGTGTCTTATCATCTAATCCTTAGTTCCTGCAAATATGTGCGAATAAATATGAGCGATAACGCAGTCACTAACATTACTTAAACTCGAGATCGTGGTGAATGGTGTATAATTTTAGGTAATTTTAGATGTACAGGAATAAATAATCGATTGGTGCTTAAAGACGTATTTTTTTTTTCAAACTATAGTAAACTAAGAACACAAGCAATACAATCGAATTCCGGTATAACGGATCCAGGACCTACACCACAAGAATTGATCGATGAATTAACTTGGTCCGGTAGAAGTAATGAAAATTATTTATTGAATTTAAACGCTTCGATAATGGCTGAAAGTACACAACCGGTTAAGTAAGTTTCGGAATAAATATGTGTTAAGGGAATAGCAAGTAAATTCGTGTCTTCTCACTGTTTACAATTTGTACAATCGTAACGGTTTTGCAGTTAAAATAGATCTAGTAAGATACGTGATTAAAATTATGCGATTCTAAGATATGATAGGTACTAAGCTTTTTGTCGGGGATGTTAGATCTCCAGAACTCGCTCGAGAAATCTCTTTGTTTTGGATTTTATTCATGGGCTGATCACTTGACCTTGAGATCACATTTCCCACCAGGAAATTCATTGGCTGTGATTGGTTACTGTGTTATTTTAGTGTGCTATTTTGTAACCCTCCCAAGAACGTCTCTATGGTGTATAAATAAACACGATTTATGTGCTTGCATTGATTGTGTGCTGGCCGAGTGTTTGTAGAATACACTTTCTACGCTATATCAAGACTTTTCGTTAGTATTTTGGGTCAACGGATCATAGTAGCCTACCTGGACGCTGGTTCATTGTGTCGTTCTAGTTTATCGACTCAGGTGAACCCGTAATAGTTTTAAGCATACCTAGTGACAAGCATAACACTTTCTTCATATAGTTACGTAATAACTCAGTATTTCATGATTTCTTGGTCTTTGCAATCAAACTTACTAAACAGTATAGGTGATGTTACTGCCTGACGAGACATTTTGGCCACTTTCTCAAAAATTGTGAGGTAAATGTACTCACAAATTTTCCTAAAAATGCACAAGAGCGATTGTGATGCCAATAAAAAACATAAACTATAAGTGTACAGGTAGTATATTTGCCTTCATATACTGTCCTCAAAGATAAACGGTAAATACATTGGAATTCATGTCATAAACATATTATGCAGTTCAAAAATAAGGGAAAGCCTTAACAGATTTTTAATATATATTTAGATGACTTGTTTAAAGAAGTTCAGTGTTCAGTCTTTCGCATTATCATTTCTATGATAATGATTTTAACTACTTTACTATTCATCTTATTCATTTCATCTCACCAAGTGCGTTTCGTATAGTAATTCGATTCAGTATTTAGTAGTCTATTCATTGATAAAATAAATAACTGACTGAAAACGTGTATAGCTGTAGGTAAATGGTGAGCGAATACAACTGGAATATATCTGCATATAAAACAATGAAATAAATATGCGTAGCATCACTTGATGACTTCTGGTTTAATTTGACAATTTCTGTTTATTCTTCTCTTTAATTTACACATTGTAGAAACCGGGTGAAATTATTTAAGAAGGTGAATAGTTGAAACAGAATTCCAAATGAAGCTGTGCATGGTGGTAGTATTAACAAAACAACAAAAAACTACATCTACATACACCTTGAAACATTCAATGAATAATTTAGTACAATTTAACTGTAACAGTTGAAATACACTGAGTATCTTTTAACTGAAATACTAATAAATAAATTATTAAATTTATAACCTGATTATTATTTCTTTTTTAAATTTAGAACTGTAAACTTGTTGAGTTAAAACTGGTTCAATGTTAAATTACATTTAATTCCCGCTATAATTGAGTCTATAATTAAAACTAAACAACATTCATCTGATGCGAACAGGTAGGTGATTGGTTTGTTGTAAGGACACTTCATGAGTTCATCGATGGAATGAAAACACACATTATGTCCAACGATTAAAACATATTACTAATTGAATATTAAAACCTACAACTGAGTGATCAGTGAGTAGTACTCATTGTTATGTTTGTCTAGTCTTTTAGAGATCTTATTGCATTCTGTTGATTGAGTTGGAGTGTGATCACTTTTCTAATTGACTCAGTATCAGATCGATTATACTAGGGTGCTAATTGGTTGGAAGTAGTTGGTAGGAAACCTGACAAAACCTAGGTTTCATGCTCTTTAGCAGAGGGTACCTAAAATCTTGAAGAAACCATCGTTTCTTTTTGTGCAATCGGAGTCCCCGGTCACTAAGCTTGATACCCTGAGACTGGAGACTGGTGACATATGCCAGTTAAATAATAGGAACGGAAAACATTTTGTAAATTCAGAATCCCCTACATAAAGAAGTAAAGAACAAACAGCGGTAAAATGGCTCGATAGATTTATGCGTTAAAACGTAAAACTTCTTCTACTGAAAGGTATCTAATATCTTAAACTATCAGTCTTTATTACAAATATGTTGATCAGTATAAAAGTATCAACTTTACGCATCTTTCTCATTGAGTATTTAAGTTATCCTATTGTGTTAATGTTAAGGATTGTTCAATAATGTTTTTATCTTATGAGGATTGTGTCTAAATAGCCATTCAGATTGTGAACATCACAGAGATGATGTAGGTATATCGAGCTGATAAGTAATGAGTCGGAATAAGTATGCTTCCAGAATTTGACTATCTGTCACCATTCGTCTGTTTTAGAAATAAACCACATGTTCTGAATTTTTACTATTACTTAGTCCACTTGATATTTGAGGGAAAATGTTTGTTGTATTTAGTGAAAATTTTTGATTATCCAAGGAATTACAAACTATCATTCTCCTTCATATAATTAGTGCATATTTCAAGGCAGGCATTTAGAGCATTGACCAAACGTCTTACTGAAGTTCGGAAATAGCTGTCTAGTCCCTAAGAATTTCCGAATATAACAAAAGGAAGGTCATTACATGGCAGACACCAAATTACAATTTGTTACAAAATTTAAAAAAACCCCAAAACAAAGTTATGTCATGTTGTATATACCAAGTATAAGGTAAGTGTTAACATCATTAGCTTATTCCTTACTAGTAAATACATTTGTCCTTGTTGCATAAAATGATCAGGAATTCGGATATACTGCCAATAAAATAATCTTTGCAGGATTTCTCAAGTTCACTAAAGTTTAAAATGTAAACCGCTGAACTCTAACTTCAGTGGTCTGAAGGTGAAGCGTTCTCCAAAACGAACGAAGATCCCATATTCATTCTGAAATGTAGTTGTGAAAGAAACATTGTTGATGAATTCTGTACAAACATGATACAACTGTTCAGTGATTTTTGGTTTTCAATGGTTGTTCAAATATACTGTAAGTACAAATCTGTCAGGTATAGTATGCATATATATCGTATTACTCTGCATAGCAGTAATGCTCCTCAATAACACTGGGTTTTGAGATTCAGTAGATTAAACAATTTGGTACTGGGAAACCTGAAATCAGGTGACGCAAATTACAAAACGACAACGATAGATGACGATTTACTTGACTCTCAATATTAATCATAACAGTGACATACAAAAACATTCATTTATAAACTGACTTAAATCATATCTGGCATCGCGCACAAGACCGAATGTCCTGAGTTCGAATCCTGCAAGTAGAAGGAGTCATAGATGCTGCATACCAGGATAAAACGACCAGCCAATGCTTCCAAGTTTCTGATGGTGGTCCAACACTGATCGATTCATGGTCTCGAAAAACTAGATCAACAATCTGCACAACTCCAAAAAATTCATATCTGATAATCAGTTAAAATTATCTTGTATGGAGGAAAATACACAAAATCCCTAAGAAAACACAAGCTGCTTATTTTACATTGAATTTATTGCAAAAACATACATAAACATTCTATTGAAATAAATCCATGCGATACTGAACAAAATATAACACTAAAAATAAAACAAACATTTTATTGAACAATCATCATATTGAATTAGAATGGAATTGATGCTGGACAAAAGTCATAATAACCCGAAAACTTATTATTGTCTTTTTAATCTGTCAAGCCAAATATTTATTCACTGAAAATTAATAGCTTGAAAAATTTGAAAAGAGATTATATTATATATAGCATAAAAATTAAAGATTAACTGAGAGCATCAATTTTTCTTGATCGCTAGTGTAATCTGAATGTTTCAGAGAACAACTCTGAGAACTCTCAATTTAGGGTAAACACAATTTAAAGTTTTCCATATATTTGATAATAAAAATAAAACTGCATTACGAAAAAAAACTAAATTGCTTACCTAGGACTGTTACCCTCAATGGAGCATAGACTTCCGGCTAGTATTTCCCACCCTGTTGTGTCTTGGGCTTCCCTTTCGAGTTCCGTCCAAGTTTTATTCATTCTTCCCAAGTCTGCCTCCATTTCTCGATGTAGTGTGTTTCTTGGCCTTCCTCTTCTCCTTTCACTTTGAAGGTTCCATGTGAGGGCTTGTGACGCAGTTGGGTGCTTTCCATAATGTGTGTCCTATCCACTTTCGGCGCTTCTTCCTGATTTCCTCGTCCACTGGAATGTGCTTTGTTATTTCCTACAGTGGGTCGTTGCTGATAATGTCTGACCGACGATTCGGAAGTATTTTGCGTAGACAACTGTTAATAAGTGCTTGTATCTTCTGGATGATGGCTTTGGTAGTTTCAGATTTTTTTAGATTCTTCTTTGTAATCTAATCATTAAACGCTTCTAATAGAACAAGTTTCATTGGTTGATATTCTAGCTATCCTTAATGGATACCTAACAGAGTTATGAAGTGAATGTGAGTCTTCTATAACAAGATAGATATTGTTGAAGTTGGTTTTTCAAAATATATTATTGATTGCAATATTCTTTAATATGATTATTAAGTAACTAGATTACGATGTGTGCATTTTGCATTTATTATAAATTTTCGGTTGACTGATTAACTATTGTTTTCCGGTTTCTTATTCAAAAGTTGTTGTCAGCCTACAACTCACAGGCACTTTTATCTTATTTATATGTAATTTGTCACATTTTTAATTTATGGTGTGAAATACTTCGGTATGTCTGTATGTAAGCCACGTATCTTTGTAATATATAGTAGGAGCTGGTTATTACTTTTGGACTCAAGGTTGGAGACAGAGAGGAGCTAGCGAACAGTGAGGACCTAGCCAGAGACTACGTCAAAAGTACTGATCGGTTGTGTAATTAACCAAGTCAGCGACACTATCCTAAATAGTAACTAGCAGACTAAATGAGAGGATTAGGGTAATGTTTGGTGATTGGACATGTATTATTATTGATCAGGTGTCCTTCACAACATAACAGTGCCTGATGAAACTAACCGCCCCCATTTTGACCCATTTGGTCCAAATGAACTATAACAGAATAAATATTTTCAAAGATCGATCATGTTGAAAGTGATTCACAAAAAACGACTAAGGTCTGAATCTGTCAAAATGTCGAACTGCTTATAACTAAGAGAACTAGGACGGTAAAACTAGGAATCCGGAAGAAGTAAGTTGCGCCTCGTTTGTTTTTACTTTGGAAGACTTCAGAGTCAACAAGTCAATTGTCACAAATATTCATTTCTGTTCTAAATCATCAGACTTTTATTTTATCTGTAATCGAACGGATAATTAATTTCATCATTGATAAATGGAATAATAGTTAGTGTGAATAATAAAAATTTACTCAATCATCAAAGGGTAATATAGGATGAAAACAAAAAACATACAGGATTGAAAAATGAAAAGACTGTCCACTTAACGAATAAATAAAATAATAAATCTAATACAAAAAAAAATATTTTCAAAATTAAAAATGAATTATTAGGATCATGACAAAATAAAAGCATAAAAAACATAATGCGTTTGAAAGCAAAGAGCTAGACTGAACTGAAAAATGGCCAAAAACCTCTTGATTACAAAGAATGTCTTATCCAATTTTGCTTAGAATCACGATACCTACCTTTATAAGTAATGGTTAGTAAAGATTCTGGTGAACCGAACTAACCGACATTGACTGGACGTTGGTCAATAATCAAACCTTTAGATAATCATTGTAGATTATATTCGGAAAGAATACAATGTGCAGAAATGACCATAAGTACAATTGTATAGCGCTAGTCGTTGACAAGAAATTGGTCTTTATGGAACTTTCTTTATATTGCTTATTAGAATTTCTTGCATTCTTTTGATCTTATTCTATTAAGTTTTAGATATACACATTTTTGAAACCATGGATCGATCAATGTTAGACCACCATTAGAAACCTGGAAGCACTGGACGGCCGTTTCGTCCTGGTATGGGACTCACAGCAGTGCGTATCCACGACTCCTGCACCCCGCAGGATTCGAACCCAGGACCTTCGGTATTGTGTGTGAACGCCTAACCATCGAACCACTGAGGCAGTATCTAACGGTGCTAATGTCTAACTTGCGCAACCTCATACACAGTCTTCGGTAGTTGCTTTCTACACCCGAACAGGTTGAACTTCACTGAACTTCACGTTCAAACAGTTTATGCAACGCTTACCTCGACATTATTATTATTATTCTAATTATTACTATCTCT